AAAGCTTTCTGAGTCATTTGATAGTTAACTTTGTAAAATTACATTTAAATTCTTTTCTGCTACTAGCAGAGAGATAGATGTTACTCCTGCTCAGTACATATTAGCTGTAAGTCAATACTTGGGTCGCCTTTGTGTTTACATAAATATTGACAGTTTCTTTTCTAGGAATAAGGGAGGTACATAACTGCTTCTTATGGTATATTAATATCTAACTTGATTCGGGTAAACTACGGTACGTGTTTCCTTTCGTATTAACACGATCCCATAATTGTCACTATTTCTCTGTAAGCCAACACTCAAATTGTCTTTGTGACAGTGAAAATACTGGAGTGCATTCCCTGAGTGGACTAACTAGACTACATCCTGTTTTCCCAGCATATCCAAGGCAGACAAATCTTGGGGCTGTGGCAAAGGATGAGAGTCGCGCACAAAGTACATCACTGAAAAGCGCCTAAAGGGACCTCAATACTAGCAACAGACTCTTTAGACTAGAAGCATCTACAAACCTCAACACAAAACAGGTGAAACAAACAGAAACAATAAAAGACTAGGAAGAAAAGTCAGCAAAACGGCTCCTTAAACCCCCAAGTCCCCTAAAGCCAATCTAGGAGGCACCAAGGGGCAGAATAGTATAAAAACCACACACCCAAATTACTCAGAAGCATAGCAGAGGAGGTTAGAAAACAGCTCAAAGTGATACTCAGTGGGATTAGAGAAGATATAACTAAACATGTAATGGAAGTAATAACCAAAAGGATGTAGGAGCTCTCAGAAGAAACTAAGAGAAAGCAAGAAGAGCTAAACAGCATCACTCAAAACATTAATGACAATTTCACCAAAGACTTAAGAGTGCACACAATATTTTCAATCACAAATCCAGAAGATTGTATGGGCACCAGGATGAACCAATGTGAGAGAATTTCAGAACTAGAAGACAATGGTGCCTTTAAATACCAACTACCTAAACACACTTTAAAAACATCAAGAGAAAATGAAAACTTGATCCAACAGCTGCCAGATGATGCAAAGACTAAGCTAAGCATAATTGGAATAAGCGAAAAATCAGAAGACAGTTTGTAAAGGTTTTATTTCTGTAACGACAGTTAATGTTTTCAACTCCTTGAGAGCCTTTGAATGAAGAAAAATAAAGTACTGCCATTCTCTGGGGAAAAGTTTATACAAGTCCCCAAGTCTTTTAGGGTATTTTTGAGCCAATTTAGAACAACACTGTAAGAGTAGCCAGGTGTTCAGTGTTTTGAGTTCAGAGCTGAAATGCTCCCTCAGCAAATGCACCCTTACTGGAGGGGATTTGGTGCTGGAAGAAAAAGGTTTTAGATTAATAGGTCACATGCATTTGGCTCCTTAGTCTCAGGGTTATACATCAAAGCCCAAATACCAGTCTCGAGTGTGCTGTGGGATAAGATGGGGAAGGGACACTATTCGGGTGACAGTGTTCCTCCCTGTTCTCCTTAAGCCTGGGCACACTCAGCTGTAACTGCAGTGGCAATGTCTTTAGGCCTTCAAATTCTAAACTATAGGAACTGCTCTAAGCCCTGAGCCTTCTTTTAAAGAAGAGCCCAGTGGCTCACCAGCTCTAAGGTCTCTGCCACCATCCACATCTCAATTTATACCTGATGGCCTAATTCCCTGGTCCTATGCATCAGGGAGTTCCTCCAGCACTGCAGCTGCTCCCCTGCTCCTGACTTTTTGTTGTTGTTGTTGTTGACTCCAGTACCACTCGGTACAAATGGTCACAGTGTAGGATGAAGCATAACCTTGTAAGTTAGTGGCTTTTCCAGTGAAAGCAGTTGTGTATCCATCAGAGTTTCCTGTTCCTGGGTGTTTTTCTTTTGTTTCTTTTCCCTTGAGATGTGATCTCACTATTCAGTTTAGGTAGGCCTTGAACTCACTGTGTAGGCCAGGTTGGCCTCAAATTGCAGCAATCCTTTTGACTCAGCTTCTCAAGTTCTGGTATTGTAGGTGTGCACCACAATGCTGGGGCTCTTTGAAATTTTTTATTATTACATGTTTAAGTACATAATCATGTTCATCATGGGGAGTTGGTACGTGCACATAGCACATCTTGTTTTTATTTCCCCTTCTCCTCTCCCTCCTCCATCCATCTTTCACTCCCTTCCCATTTGTAAAAGATCTATCTCCCTTTTTTCCGATCATCCAACTTTAATTTTCTTCTATTATTTTTTCTTTTCCCTTCCATCCCTTCTCTCTCCCTTGTTCTCCTTCCCATTTACCTTCTAGTCTCTTTTTTTTTTCTTTTTCCCCATTTCCTATCCATCCTTTGTTTTGCTTTTTAAATTGTTTACACTTTCGGTTCCTCATATAAAAGAAACCAGTTAACCTTGAGTATCTAATTTATTCCACATAACACTGTGCTGTCAAGCAGCATCCATTTTCCTATAAACACTTAAATGTATCCTTTTTTATGGCACAGAATTACTCCAATATTTATACATACCACATTTTCTTCCTCCCCGCCCCCTGGTACCAGGGTTCGAACTCAGGACCTTGTGCTTGAGAGGGGGGTGTAGTACCACTGAGCTAAGTTCCCCACTCCAATGCTATGTTTTCTGTATCCATTCATCTATTGATAGGTGGGTTTTTAAAAAAATGTATCTGTATGCCAGGTGTTTTCCCCTCTAGTCAACTCTAGTCTCTTCCTGACAGTACTCTGGCCTAGAGATTAACTTATCTGTACTAATATAGCAAGAGGAACCTTTGAGCCTGGCATCCACTCAGGTTGGCCCAGTAAGCAAGGGCAGGAGAGTTGGCAGAAAGAGGAGGAGGGAGGGAGGAAGCGAGTGGGGCTGCTGATATTTATCCTGCCTTGTCTCTGGACCTCCTTTTAGGACAGCTGCTGGGCCCAGTTCCTAGACCTCTTCCCTGTTCAACCTATGAGCAACGTAGGTTTAGTTTGGGTTTTTGAGATGGGATCTCACTGTGGATTCTAGGCTGCTCTTGAACTCATTATGCAGCTCAGGCTGGCTTTGAATGTGCTGTGATCTTCTTCCCTCGGCTTCCAGAGTGCTGGGTTCCAGTAATACATAACCGTGCATGGCATGGTTCCTGTCCCAACCTCACTCCCCACTCCCCACCACACCTTCTTGATTCTACCTTTGATTATTCTACAGTTACAAAATATGCTCCCAAATATCCTTGAGTGTGGTGACCTGGCACCCTGTCCCTTAGAGAAGTGATTAAAAGGCTCAGTTAGAGAACATTTCTTCTATATACTGTGGGAAAGTTTGTCCTAGGTTTTTTGAACAGCTTACTAAGGTTGACTCACCTGTCTACTTTTTCCTATTGAAATGATTAGCTGTTGTTTTGCTTCACTCTGTCTTAAATTCTGAGTTCTCAGTGGGAACCAGCTGCTTTTGTAAATAAAGTGGGGACAAGGGTTTGAAGGGAGAGGAGAGAAATGGGGAAAAAAAGAAGAAAGATACATCACATATTTAATTCCTGTGGGAATACACATAGAAAGGGAACAGCTGGGTCCAGTGGGACGTCTAACCTTAGGTTAAAATGGGAGACATTCGTGTAAATACTGAATTGTTTCTCTGGTGTGAAAAAGTAAAGTGTAAATGAGGACCAGAATGTATAATAGATATGTGAAATAGGAAGAAAATATTCAAAGGGGAAGGGGGAACAAAGCAGGGGTGGGGGTAGAAAGGAAAGAAAATAAGGAAAAAACGGAAACAAAGCTTATGTGTATAGGGAGGGGTGGAGAGGTTGAAGGGAGGACAGGGGAATGGGGAAAACTAACCAAGATACATCATGTACAGATTTCACATGATGAATATGATCATAATGTATACCTAAAATGTACCAATAAACTCAATAAGTATATAGAAAGATACATCACGTACAGGTACAAATTCTACAGGATGGATGTGATCATTATATTTATCTAAAATGTACCAAAAACATTCATTTTTTTTTTTAAAGAGCAAGACAGCTATCTCTTGGAAGGGGCTGAGATAGAGTGGGGTGAACAGCCATCCTGATAAAAATGAAGAGTAGACAGTGAACTAGGACTGTGGACAAAGAATGCGTTGTCTCAGGCAGCATGGGAGGCAGACCACTCCCTCATAAAGGGAGGTGCAACCAGTCCCTACTAAGATCCTGAATGTCTACAAAATTGTAATGCAGATTAACCAGTTCCTTCCGAAATCTCAATTTTTTGGGCCAGGGATTTAGCTCAGTTCTACCACCTGCCTTGCAAGCAAGGGCAAGATCCCTAGTTCGACCTCCAAAACAAAAAGAAATAAATCAAAACCACAAAAAAGGAGGTATGAGGTCTCAATCTATTGTACATACTTGTGTGAGTGAATTGGAGTAAAAATCCGGAGTCTCAATTGATCATTTCAAATCTAGAGCCACCTGTGATAGGTGGCCACTAAATAAGCAATTCCTTTACCCAACTCACCTATATGTAATTCTAAATTGAGAAAATTCCTTGTGAAACCCGGAAATCCAGGAGCCATTCTCCTCCTTATTTTCAGTACAACTTCCCTAACATAAAAAACCAAAGCATACAAAATACAAATCAAGTTGATGGAGAGAAGGAAGAGACGCAAGTGAGTGAGAAGAATCGCCCAGGACCCATAGACCTTGGACAGGTACAGCTCTGCCAGGGAGCACAGGTGTGACAGATCTTGCTTTTGAGGAAGGAACATGGACTCTGCCCCTTAGTGAATGAGCCCAAGGCAACAGGCACAGTCCAGAGGTTCCTAGCAGAAGTGTGCAGAAGACCACCTGGACTCAGAGAAGACCTGATGTGCTGAGTGAGTGGTGGTGCATCCTAAAGAAAGCAGGAGGAAGGTGGCAGCCTCCTCTGAGTGAGGCCTGTGGACCCATCCAGACCCTGCCTTGCCCTCCAGGTTACTTCTGCAAAGATCACATGGGTGAATGTACCGGGGCTCCCTGCTGAGTTACAACTCAGCTCCTTGACCTTGGGATTTATGATTAACATATTTTCCCAGGAGCCAATGAGGTGGCACCCAGGTCTGCTTCCCAGAGCTGGGGCAGACCCTGGACACTGTCTTCTCAGTGCCAGGTGGAGGCTGAGGGCTTGGGCCACCGTCTGTCAGCTCCGTGGTAGAGCAGGTAAGTGGACAGGGGGGTAAGGTGAGGGCTCTCCATGTGGACTGGGAGCCCCTGAACATTTCTGGGGATCTCAAGGCCGAGCCATTTTGGAGTTTGGCCCCTTTTGCCTTCTCAGCAGCCTATGCCTTCACACTCAGCAGGAGGATTTGTTGATCTTTTTCTGGGGGACACAGGACTTGTGCAATAGATGGAAACTGGGAGGGAACAAAGGCCTGAAGACATGGGGTCTGGTGCCCCAGGTGCCATCCCAGTAAACCAAGAAGCCCAGAGAGACAATGAAAGGATAAGGAAGGGGGAGGGGAACACAGAACGGTGTCAGTGCTTCATGTACGTTATTCTGTTCAATCCTCAACAGTGTGTTGCTGTGCTTTTCAGATGAAGATACACAAGCTCCGAGATGTTAAGTGACGTGCTCAGGGTCGCACAGCAAGAAGGAAAAGGAACCAGTGTTCTGATCAGGTGTTTTTGATGCTCACCTTCTCATAGTGGTGGTTTCCTGCCTGTTGGTGCAAAAGTTACTGGACAAGCAAGACCTTTCAGCAAATTAGGAACAAAAATGTGCCTTTTCTTAAGCCTAACTCAGCCACTAAAGATGCTTGTGCATAGCATCAGAGAGAACTGTACAATAGTTTATGGTGGGCAATCCTGACCAGGTACTGTTCTCCCTGCACAGCTGTGTTTGGAGACCAGCTCCTTTCCAGGATCATCCACATGCCTCTGGGCCTTTATCTTTGTACTCTAGACTCCTGATTCATGGTCCATGTGCAGAGAGAATGATGACTATGCATGCACACCCAACACCTTGTTCATTTAGTTTGCTGCTAAGAGCATGTCTGTGGCTCCCCTTGCTCCTGGAATAGAATCCACACCACATATCCTGCATGTGGACACCTGGGTGCCCTCACCTACTCCTTCCAAAGGCAGTTTGGTCAGCCTCCTTTCCCCAAACCTGTGTCTTCTTCTCTCTCTGTTCAGACCTCTATTCCTCATCCTGAGGAGTCATCTCACTGTCTACTGAGGCCAGCTTCTTCATGTCTGTTTCTCCTGGCTCTTACCACACCTGGGAGGGCCTCCACCTGCATCCATATACTGAAATCTCAAGAGGATCTTCTTCCCTGGATGACCGATATCACTGCATCTCGGCCTTATCACAAGTTCACGCTTGTCCCCTGCTGCATAGTGAGAATGAGGGAAATCCAGAGGAGTCTGCTGTCCTCTGCTCAGGGAGTCTCGAGAGGAGAAAGCCAACACCTTCAGAGTCCTTTGCAGATATTACATATAGGTAGGCTTGAGCACATTAGCAAAAAGCAAGAGTCCCCTCAGTAGAGGAGAATTCCATGGAGAAGCAACTGCCCTCTGGTTTGCTTTTCCAGGCTTAGAGTTAGGAGTTCAGCTAAAATTTCTGAGCCAGTGTGATGGCGGTGACTCTAAGCCAGCACCTGGGCCTATGGCATCTGCCTACTGTCCTAGTGCCTGTTATCTGGGTGTAAGCTCTGCTGGGGCCCGCAAAGAACATATATGATAGAACAGGAGCATCCACACCGTCCCTGAGGGGCTGAATGGAGGAGAGGAAGTGTGTGGCCGCTGTTTCTTGATGTGTGACTATGCACCACCAGGTGCTTTGGAAGAAGTGCAGCTGTGAAGGACTTTGTTACTGAGCCAGGAGACCTGGAAGCTGGCCCGAGATAAGAGAGCCCCAGGCCAAGACAGGGTTTCAAGGCTCCTACCACATATGTGCACAGAATCGTGGTAAAGTGTGCACAGGGCTTAGTATGTTGCATGATAGGAGATGAGGCTGAAGAAAGCAGGAAGTGGTCCAGGTTCTCATGAGAGTGATGACAGATTCCATGTCCTTCTACAAGATAATTCTCCAGGGATCAAAAGGTGAATCACAAAAATGAAAGCTTCCTGTTCTTGCACTTTCCTACCACTGGACCTTGCTCTTTATGATTAAAATTATTCATGAGCCAAGCAATGAATGGCATTCAGATCTGCTGTGCAGAAGTGGGGCAGACCTCAGACAGTCTCTTCCTGGACTCTGTTAGGAACTGAAGGCTGAGGCCACCCTGCACACTGTTGCCTCTGTGGTAAGAGCTAAGAGGTAATGCTTGCAAATTCAGGCCTCTCAGTGTGGGCCCAAAGATCCAAAGGGTCTTGGGGATCTCAAAATTGGGCCATATTGGTCCTTGAACCTTTTACCTTGTCAGCATCCAATACATTTACACTTGGGTCAAAGAGATTTTGCTCTGTCTCCTGCTAGAGAATACAGGAATATTGCCATAGATAGACCCTATGAAGAGAGCAAAGGGGCTAGGGCTGAAAGGTCTGGCTGTCACACGTGTCATCTCAATATACCAAGAGCTTCAAAGAACCAGTGAGTAGTGTATTGCAGTTGCAGTGGAAGGGACTGTATACAGCAGCACTTCATATAAGTTATTGTGTTAAAGCCTCAAACAATTCTACAAGGCAGGGTGCTTTTCTCTTCTCTGGTGCTGGTGGCCTGCTTCCTTTGGGGCCACAGCAGAAGGACACACACTGAGCAAGGTTTCCATTGTGCCTGGGCGACCAGGAGTGGTTGGGTCCTCACACAGCTCTCCCTCTTCTGCAGGGCTGCAGGGAAGTCACACAGGCAGATTTGGCAACCCCTGGAGGGCAAAGTGGTAGACACAGAAGTGGCAACATGACTCCTCATCACATCCGCACATATCGGGAGAGCGACCGAAAACCAGTCCTGGACTTGTTCTGCAGGGGCATGACTGAGCATGTCCCTGCCACCTTCCGCCACATGCTGATGCTGCCTGGAACCCTCCTGATTGAGCTCGGGGTGCCCCTCTCCCTGCTCCTGTTCTCTGGCTCCTGGCTCCTGGCGATCACGTCCAGCCTCACTCTGCTGCTCTTGTTGTGGTTCCTCGCCAGATACAACTGGAAGCTGTATGTGGCCACATGTTTGCGCACAGACATGGCTGACATCACCAAATCCTACCTGAGTGCGTGCGGCTCCTGCTTCTGGGTGGCCGAGTGTGGGGGGCAGGTGGTGGGCACTGTGTGTGCTCTGCCGGTGAAGAATCCCCCACTGGGGAAGAAGCAGTTGAAGCTGTTTCACCTCTCAGTGGCTAAGGAGCACCGAGGAGAGGGGATAGCGAAAAACCTGGTCAGGACTGTCCTCCAGTTTGCCCGGGACCAGGGCTATGTTGAAATCGTGCTTGAGACAAGTATAATACAGCGCAGTGCCCTGGCCGTATACCAGGGCATGGGCTTCCGGAAGACGGGCCATTATTTTATGAATATTATCTGGAGGCTGGCAGGTATTCCTATATTTCATTTATTGTACCAACTCCCTTCTGCTCGGGATGGGGGCCTGTGATCTCTTTCTTTCGTATTAAGAAAAACCTGATTGACTGTGCTGTAATCACAAAGTACGACATTTCTGTCTTACAAACCATAAACTCTGATTGTCTGATCTGAGCTGGGCACGTGTGATGGTGTTTTGCAGGCAGTTGCCGCTCTCCTCCATTGTCTTTGTGCATTGCCCCTCCTCATGTTTCTAGTGTCACGATAATGTTGCTTTAAAAACGACCACAGCACAATACCAGACACATGTTTTCTCTGAAGTTGTGGCCTGCAGTTTCTGCTGGTTTTGGCTCACACCTCACTGGTCTCAGGACTTCTGTGCAAATGTGTTGGGTTGGCTGCAGTGCTGGGTATCTGGGCACCATCCTGTACCACTCGCCTGAGACAGGGTTCAAGGTCCCAAAGAGGAGTCAAAGTAACCCTAGAAAAGAAGCCAGGCTTTTCCAAACCTGTCTCTCAACACGAGCTACAGCCACAGGGCAAGGGGTTGAGATTCAGTCCTATGAAAAGATGTGGGCAGCAATATGCTGCATCTTCTCTCATCTCTAGTGGGTATGCAGAAGGAGGAAGGCAGGCAGGGCTTGCAGTACAGGATGTTTTCACAAGGAGACCTCAATGGATTTGGCCCTCAAATGACTGGACCCAACTGGAAAATTAAAGTAGGGTGTGTTTGTGTGTGCACAGGAAGAGGAGATGTTGATGAAGTGAGTGTCCTAGATCTGACATCATTGGGATCTGGCTTAGTTCCTCTACATGTTTCACTACTCTAGAAACATAGCTGCCTTGTCCTGACTATGTCCTCCTGGCAGCCCTAGAGCAAGGGTGAGTGGAAATGTGGATAATTGCTGATAATTGCCAGTGGGGCTCTGTAGTTTCTGTCTGAGTCCACCAACCCCACAGGCTGACCTACTGCAGAATGAATGAGAGCTAGCACCCCTCAACCAAGTTCTTGTAACACGGAAGCAGTGCTGTGGGTTCTCTCCTAACCTGACATGTATCTTCCTTTCTACTGAAAGAGCGGTTGGAGCACACTATTCAGTTACCCCATCGGACTGTGACACAGGCTGTTGCACCTACACGGAGGCTCTTTTGCCACACTGTTGGTGAGATTCCAAATGCTACTTACTTGTTTCTTAGGACAGAGGTCCTCAACTCTTCCCCTCTCCATGCTGGTCAGCTTGACCTTGGCTTTAATGGCACTCACAGTCCAGTTGCCAACCCATCTCCTCCTTCAGGTTGCCTCCCTGTGCTTCTCTGAACACAGTCATTCAGGCATCTGTCCCACTCCCCCACCACACCCCTTTACTTTAGGTGTCTATTGTCTCCTGAGCTGTCCTGTTGTCTTCGCCCCTAATGGTGAGGGCCTTGTGACGGCCCATTGAGATGGAAGAAAAAAAGGAGAGCTTCCTCTATTGCTTACTGCTCCATGTTCTCTATGCCCAGCAAGGCCATTTGCTCAGGAGCACCTCCCAGTGGGACCATTGCTGTGGTTGGAAATGATGAGGACAGGATGATCCCTTTGCTTTGGAAGGAGCTTTCAGTAGCTAAGAAACAGTTTTACTAACCTCTCACGCATGTGGTCAGGCCCTGTGGGATCGGGAGCCAGGGAAGCAGAGACGCCAAAGAAGTGCCAGCTTGGAAATTATGTACAGTGATGTTAATGGGGGCATCTGGCATGGTAGAGGTTCCCACAAGCTGCCATTCCTGCAGCCTGGCTTACTCCAGCAGACCCTACTTCTCCCAACCTCTGCCAGGTGCTCAGTACCCTCTATTCTGCTGGATGTCTTCAGGCACATTGTTCTTTTGAACTGGAATATTCTCCTCCATCCATCCATAGTGTTGTGGACGCAGGAGCTATGTTTCTCAGGAGAGGAACAGGGAGGAAAGAGTGAAGAGAACTGTAAGCAGGGAGCAAGCTCTTTATCCTGCTTGTATTCTCGGTGTTGTTGAAACTTAGTCATTTGCAACTCAACATCATCCCCACATGAGTTTTCCTGTTGCCTACATACCTGTTAAAAGCAAGAGTGAACACTGAATCTTATATCTGTGTTTTTCTTGGGTGGGCAAAGGGTTACTGATGATCAGAAACTTTCACTTATGATGTAGGCAGCAGCAACACTGAGCTAAATCCTCTGCCCAGTGAACTTTAAATCTACAGAATAATATTAACAGATACGAATCCTGGACACCATCCTCCTGCAAGCATCATGACAGCCCACTCCAAGAAGAAAGAGGGTGGCAACAGTGTAATGGGCTAGTGGATATCAAGGGAGGGAGGGGTCTGCTCCTCTGGCTCTTCCCTGCTCATCCTCCTGGAGCAAATGGACAACCTACTGGTGGGCTGTTGCACTTCTTCCTGACGGACTTGGGACAGAGGCTCAAAGCTGTGCAGGTGCACACCCTGTGTCTGTGCACTGGGGGATGGGTATGACTGGTAAAGAGGAGGCCAAGGGTTACAGGAAAATCAGAAACTAGTACTCTGTATGCGAAGGAAGAAATTGTGCCATGAGCTTTGAGAGTGCATATAAAAAAAACAAGTTGTCCAGATAGCTTGGGCATCACCAGGGTTCAGGGAGATGTGTACATAGGGAACGATAGCTCTGGAGAGATAAACTTTCTCTTGGACTTGTGAAAGTGCTTCAGGATTTCAGCAGGGGTGGTGGTCCACCTTATGAATAGAAGAAATGCTGCAGGCCATGTGAGATTTCTGCAAGTAGAGTTCCTAAGGAAGGACCAAAGGCTGGAGACATGAAGTCTGCCACAAGTGCTCTGCCAGTGTGCAAAGAAGCTCAGAGAGCATGGAATGGGGTAATTAGAAAAGACTTCTGTGGCTTCTCTTCCGGTCTTGTATGGCCAGTATCTCCCTGTATCTCTTCCCATTTTCTTTCACTGTCTTCCTTCTTTGCCTGTGTTCTAATCTCTTCCTCTTTGAGGAGCAGTACACAGGATGGAATCCAGAAATTCAAACACGGTAGGCCAGGATTCTGCCACTGTGTTACATCCTTTATTTTTCCAATGAAAAGGCTGGCAGCATTGTTGCATTAGGGCTCATGCCACCGATCTCTTTTTTAAGTTTTTTATTTTCAGGGTAAATGGAGGCATGACTAAGACCATCAGAGCAGGCAAAAATGAGGCAACAAGCGAGGTTTTTATTTTCAGCCTGGTTGCAGGATAGTCAAGGGCAACAACATTGTTGACCCTCAGTGCTTGAGTGAGGGGAAACTTTAGAGGGAGTTTGTGTAGGGGAAGGGGTGTTGCGAGCTGGCGACACAGAGCACTGTTCAGCAGTGCCTCAAACCTGAAAGAGCAGCGGGGTGGAGATGGGGCAGAGAGAAAGAAAAGACGCCAAGACAAGAGTCTGATCAAGGCGACGTTTATTGCAGGCAAGCATCAGCCTTTTAAAGGAAAAAAACACAAACTATTATGGGCTAGGATTACCATAGTAACCTCAACACCTGCTCCACAGAAATGAGAGTTCACACAGGAAAGAGAAAACAGGCTCAACAAAAACAACCACCATGGGTAGTAGTAACCCAGACAACTACACGTCTGAAGGTCAAAGACAAGAAGCTGCACCTCTCAGGAATTCCACAAAGGAAATACACCACCTTTTAAGGTGGAGGAACTTAACAAAATGGAGTTACTGACGTTAACAACACTTGCAACTAATAATCATGTTTCCCACTATTCCTCCCTTTATATTTTAAATTTTATGGTTCCATGGCAACAAGATATTCAGGAGAAATTGTAGGCATGTCCGAGCCTGTCTTAGGTCGGGAAAAGTGTTTGGCTGTCTTACCCGTCATTGGGGTCATCTGTTTTAAAGGCCTATTACATATGAAGATTTAACAGAAGCCCCTGTCTTAGGTTGATCAGTCAAACCTTTTCCTCTTACCCGTCTTTGACTTTCCGGACCCTCACTGAAGCTCTCTTTTTATCTGAGTGAGGTAAATGCCCAAATTTTCAGAGGACCCTTCCTTAAGGGCCATGAGCGCATTTAATGTTTTGTGCTATATATAAACCTGCTTCTGTTTGTACCGGAACCAATATTTTAGACTTACTAATAAAATCAAAACAATACCTCCTAAACAAACATAGATGACAATCCAAGAGGGATCAAACATCTTCTTCAGATTTTCCCAAATCCTATTAAGAAAAGTAGTATCCACCTCAAGAGGGTTAATATGTACAGAAGATAATTTATGAATTTTCTTAGATAATTGTTGGGTCAAATTAAAATATTTAACAGTCCAAGGTCCATAACAATTTTTTCAGAGCATTCCCTTTCTTGAGAGGCATTGTTAACCTTGATGGGTGTAACACAGAAATCAAATCTTGGATCACAAGCACTTTTAACCAATCTATATAGATTATTTATCTCCTCAGACATTAAATCAATTTGTCCTTGCATCAGCAAGAGTCCTTATCGTTGAGTTCCTTCTGTGTTTCCCATGTGGTGTTTTAAATATTCACCAACCCATTAATGGTTTCTGCTTGTATAGCTGTTTGGGACAATGCTACAGCCACAACAGCAGCGGAGGCGGCGGCAACCGTAGCTACTGTGATGGCAGCAATGATGGCTGAAATTCCAAAGTCCCGTTTAGTTCTCACCATCAGGGTAGTGGTATGGTAATGCTGTTCAAGTTCCATGGGGATCCACTGAGCCAGAGGAATTCGCATTAATCCTACAGAATTATTAAAACCTTCGCCCCCTTCCCAACATGAGGCCAGATAACAAGGCATACTAGAACAATTAACAACACCATTATCAAGCAGGGAACCATTCCACACTATTTAACAAGGCATATCTTTTTATAAGTCTATGAAAATTATTTTGGTGGTTCCCATTAGTGAACAAAGATCAGAATAAATTTTCTGAGCAGCTGCTTCTTTATTTACCAACAGCAGTGTATTTAATCCTATAAATCCAGGTTGTAGAAATCAACAATCTACTTGTATTTGACGTCATTTTGATCAAAAACATAATTGGAAGACAATTTAAATGAGTGCACTCAGATGGTTTTGGCCAATTGAATTATAAAATCTTTTTGTTATGACTAGTCAAAATTTTTGCAGGTCAGAATTAACAGAGATCTCTTAGGGTTAAAG